GGAAATTAGCGAATGTTGTGCCCATTTACAAGAAAGGTAATAGGGAGGAGTCGGGCAACTATAGGCCAGTAAGCCTTACTTCAGTAGTGGGGAAAGTGATGGAAACCATGTTAAAGGATAGGATTGATGAACACCTAAAAACACATGGATTTCAAGATCAGAGACAACATGGGTTTACTTCAGGGAGATCATGCTAAACTAATCTTATTGAATTATTGATTGGGTAAATAAAATTATAGATCAGGGTGGTGCAGTAGACATTGCTTACCTAGATTTCAGTAAGGCTTTTGACACTTTTGTACATGAAGGCTTATCAATAAACTGCAATCTTTGAGTTTGGATTCCAATATTGTTGGATGGGTAAGGCAGTGGCTGAGTGACAGGCAACAGAGGGTTGTAGTTAATGGAATATATTCGAAGCTTGGACTTGTCACCAGTGGGGTACCTCAGGGATCTGTACTTGGACCCATTCTCCTTAATATTTTTTATTATCGATATTGCAGAAGGTCTTGATAGTAAGGTGTCTTTTTGCTGATGATACTAAGATATGTAACAGGGCTGATGTTCCATGAGGGATAAGCCAAATGACAAATGATTTAGGTAAACTAGAAAAATGGTCAGAATTGTGGCAACTGACATTTAATGTGGATAAGTGCAAGATAATGCAGAGTACAGAATATTTGATAGAGTCCTAACCTCAACATATGAGGAAAGGGATTTAGGGGTGATTATTTCTGATGACTTATAGGTAGGCAGACAATGTAATAGAGCAGCAGGAAATGCTAGCAGAATGCTTGGTTGTATAGGGAGAGGTATTAGCAGTAGAAAGAGGGAAGTACTCATGCCATTGTACAGAACACTGGTGAGACCTCACTTGGAGTATTGTACACAGTACTGGAGACCGTATCTTCAGAAGGATATTAATACCTTAGAGAGGGTTCAGAGAAGGGCTACTAAACTGGTTCATGGATTGCGGGACAAAACTTACCAGGAAAGGTTAAAGGATCTTAACATGTATAGTTTGGAGGAAAGACGAGACAGGGGGGATTTGATAGAAGCATTTAAATATATAAAGGGAATCAACACAGTAAAGGAGGAGACTATATTTAAAAGAAGAAAAACTACCACAACAAGAGGACATAGTCTTAAATTAGAGGGACAAAGGTTTAAAAATAATATCAGGAAGTATTACTTCACTTAGTAAATAGCGGATGCATGCAACAGCCTTCCAGCTGAAGTGGTAGAGGTTAACACAGTAAAGGAGTTTAAGCATGCGTGGGATAGGCATAAGGCTATCCTAACTATAAGATAAGACTAGGGACTATGGAAAGTATTTAGAAAATTGGGCAGACTAGATGGGCTGAATGGTTCTTATCTGCCGTCACATTCTATGTTTCTATTTAAATGTGTAAATGGTAATTCCGGTAAGATTTTATCTTTTAAATTTACTTGTTTTTTAAAGTGAGTCCAGAATTTAGAGATTTTAATATTAAATTGTCAGTTTGACATATCCTACTTTATTTCAAGTATTCATTCTTGTTGACCAGAACAAATTAACCCCGTTACCTTCCTCCTTGATATCATTAGATTTAATTCGAAACCAATTTTGGATATTTTCTTGCTTAATTGTGGTAATCGTATGCATTAAAAGGGCCACTTGATGGTATAAACAAATTTTAGAAAACCTATTCTTCCTCGTTTATGTTTTAAATATAAAAGATCAATCCCTATTCTGGGTTTCTTATTAAGCCATATATAATTTCGAAAGATTTTATTTATAACAGTCAGCCATGAGTGCTGTAGTCATCGGGATCATTCTTAATAAATAGATCTTAGGAAAGATATACACTTTTATAGAGTTGACTCTGCCCCACCATGATATTTCCAGTGTACTCCATTGTTTTAAAAGGTGAGTAATTTCTCTTATTAATGGAATTATATTGGCCTTCATTATGTTAGAGGGGTTGTATACAATGTTTATGCCAAGGTATTTAAAACCCTTCTTTTCCCAATTAAAGGCATAACGTTTATTCAAGAAAGATAATCCTTTTCTTTTATATACATGGGTAGCACAACAGTTTTTTAATCGTTGAGTTTATAGGTTTGTAAAAAGGCTATATTGCTCTACTATATTCATTACTTCTGGTACTGAAGAAATGGGGTTTACAAGAGTTAATAAAGTGTTATCTGCATATTTGTTAATCTGTAATTCTTTATAATTTATTTGAAAGCCCTTTATTTTTGAATTCGAATGGATTTTATGTGCTAATGTTTCGGCCACTGGGATATAAAGGAGTGGAGAAAGTGGACAACCTTGGCGGGTGTCATTTGAGATGTCAAACCATTCAAACCTAATTCCCACTCCCACTATTCTACTCAATAAAGAGGAATAGAGGGCCATAATTGCTGGGAGAATCCATCCCACCCCCAAAAAAAAAACTCTTAAGTTGTTCTCATAAAGTCCCAACTAACTATCAAAAGCTTTCTCTCCATTGAGAGCCATAGTGAGAAAGGGGATTTCCGTGGCATGGACTTTCGCATTTATGTTTAAAATTTTCCTGATATGGTTGGATGACGTTCTCCCCGGAACGAAGCCCACTTGATCTTCTGAAATTAGAGTGGACATGATATTTTTTATTCTTTTACATAAAACCAAAGCTTAGATTTTATAGTCGGTATTCAGCAATGCAATTGGTCTGCAACTTGCTATTTCTTCTGGGTTTTTATTTTGTTTGAGTATAGGAACAATGTTAGCTACAAGCATCTCTTTTGGCATCTCCCCCATAAACATAGCTGAATTAAAACAGCGAGTCTCTGAAGGACCAACTCCTTATATATTTAATAGAAAAATTAACAAAACCATCCCACCCAGGAGCCTTATTTATTTTCATTGCATTAATAGCTTCTGCAATTTTCTGTGGCGTTATTCTTTCATTTAATTGCTCTAGTTGATAATTATTTAAGCAGGGAAGATCCTTATCAGATAAATATTTATTTATAGATTCTTGGATGCTACAGGCAAATTGTATAAAGTACAATAATATGCTTTAAAAACAGTACCAATTTTTTTAGGGTCTAATATTACTTCTTGGCCTTGTCTTATTTTATTTATTATTTTGTTCTGATTTAAGTTTACTGGTAATTTATCTGCTTTATTCCCCCTATAGTAATAATTAGTTTTCATAAATTGCCTGTTTCTGTTTACTTTAAATATTAAGATGTCATTGATTTTATTTTCAAGAATATTTATTTGATAAAGCTCTAAAAGGGCACGATATATTTCATTTATTACATTAATCAAGTTCAATATATAAATCTGATAGAGACTTTTCTCTGGTAAACTTTGCATGTGTTCCTAAACTGATTATATGACCTCTAATGACACTTTTAAAGGCACACCATTTCATCATAGGTGAAACTTCATTATCCCTGTTATCTAACCAATATAGATCTATTGCCTTTGCGATATGGCTTTTGTTAACTTTAGATATAAGTAATTTATCATCTAATTTCCAATCTGGGCGATGTCTAGTAAATTGGGTTTTCAGTTGTAATTTAACCATATTGTGGTCCGACAATGTAATTGAAATAATGTTAGAAGATTTTACTCTCTCCAGCAAATGACAATCAGAATTAGGTCGATTCTAGAATATGCACAGTGTGTTTTGCTAAAACAGGTCAAATCTGTTTCGGACGGGTGATACAATCATAGAGAGCCACATGCTACAAAATTTCCTGGCTTGATTAAAGACATTCTTGTAAGGTTTTTTTTGCCTTTCTCAGACCTTTTATCTACTTTAGAGTCAAGTACAAATTAAAATCTCCCGTTACTGTAACTGATTTTTGTTTAAGTTTATCTAATTTCAAAACAAAGTTTTGTATATACTGGATTTGCGACATAGATATTAGCTATTGTGTACATTTTCTCATCTATATTGCGGATCGTTATGATCCATCTGCCCATTTTTGTCTGTGCACTGATGTTTTATAGAAACATTAAACTTTGCTGAGAATAAAATTACTACTCCTTTTTTCTTTTTCTCCTTAAAAGATGAGCAAATGGGGAGAGGAAAATCTTTAAACTTATTTTTTTTTTCCATCTGCTTGTTGCCAATGAATCTCTTGGATACATATAATGTGAGTATTTTCTTTTTTTCATGCAGTCAACTAAAATTCTCCTTTTTTGTGGCGAATTGAGCATTAATAGAAACAATATTTAACATTATGTTATCTAGTTTTGAAAAACCACATATCTAGACATACAAAATTCTATCCTTATAATATCAACTTGTGTCCCATATTTGGGGCACAAGTACCTTCTGTTTAATATCATGAACTCAGAAGAAAAAATTAGAACCGCCACATGGGTTCCCGACTCAGTTATTGAACACACCACTTGTTGATTAAATTTTACGTGAAGACAAGACAATAATACAAAGACAGTGACATGTAAAAAGAACAACCCTATAAGGAAGTCTGGAAGGGTCCCCAGTGGTTTACCCCACCTCATTGTGCCTTTCACCACGATTATATTTAATGGGAGAGAGTTGTAACAAATAATCACAGGAAACTCTAAAAGCTTGAATTTGAGAGAGAAGGAAGGAAAAAAAGGCAATACAAATGAAAATAACCTCTTGTAAAGCTTTTCCAACATAGAGAATTAAGAAAATTATCTTTCTAGGTTATCCTGCTTATTGTCCTACTTTAATTACATACAGTGATTTGTGCTTAATGTCATCTTTATCCTTCTTTTAAATTCTCCATATATTTGTTTTTTTTAAATCTATGTGATATTCGTGAATTATACAGTTATCCTGATATTTTAAATCTAGTTTGCTCATAAGAAAAAAATAAAAAATATATCAAAGTAATCACTTGTGATACTTTATTAGCGTGCATAATTACGTGAAATATCCCTCTTTCGAAAATGGTCATACTTATCAACCTGCTTTAAGTTGTATAAAGTTATTAATACTTAACGTCATCTTTATCCAAAAAACAAAACCAAACAAAAAAAAAAAAGTCCTTAGCCTCCGGTCTTTATATCTTTCTCTTTTCAGTTTTAGGTGCCTCTTAACTCAAATCAAAGTTCAGTTCCTTGAACCACTTAGATAAGGCTAGTGTATCCGAGAAAGCGTATGTCTTCGCCTCATAAGAGATAATGATTGTACATGGGTATCTCCAGGCATAACGAATGTTCCTTTGGCGTAAGATTTTCATGCAAGTTGCAAATGGCCTTCTTTTTATCCTGGTATAATAAGACAGTCCAAGAAAAATAGAGATTTTATTGTATGGTTCATTGAGTCTAAATCACTCTTGCTGCTTTCAAGACTTGTTCTTTCACTTTATATGATGTGCAACAGATGAGAACATCTCTTGGTATACTTTCAGGTACGATAGATGGTTTCATTACTCTATGACTACGTTCCAAAATGTTTAGGGGATTTGTTAGTTGAATGCCCAATTGAAGGAATAAATCTAGAATTAATTCATTTAGTTTATAATTTGCTTTTGTTTCTGGGATTACCCTAAATCTTAAATTATTGCGTCGCAATCTATCTTGTAGATCGGCTAGTTTAAATTCTAAATCTGCCATTTTATTTTTTAGACTTTCCTGTGAGTCTTCTAATTGGGCTTGTTGGTATACCAAGGACTGTTTTTTCTTCATTCATCTTTTTCTCCAATAATAGGGGTTCCGTTCTGAACTCTGAGAGACCTGTTTGAATTTTATCTCATAGGGTTTCAAAGCATGCATCTAGGTATTCACGTAAATCGTCCTGAATGATCTCCTTAGGAAGCTGTTTAGTAGATGTAATCTTTGGCATCATTATTTCTGCTTCTTTGACAGCAGGTATCAAAATATCCATTTCTGATGATCTGTTTCTTGTCTCTGTAAATGAGGCGGAGTAAAAAAGGATAACCGCTTTTCTGTCTTATTCTCCTGTTTCTTTTCTTTTTCCCTTTTTAAAAGTTGCTTGTTTTCTTGGGCTTGTTTTGAAGCCATAATAAATTGGACATTAAAAAAAAAACAAAAAAACAACAATGCAAAAACCTCTTATCTCTCTTTGTCCGAGTCTTCCACTGCTTGCTGCTTTTAAGGGATTTAGCAATTAAACACTAACCCATTAGACGTTTCTTCTCTTTATTTTTTGCCCTTCTTGCACCCTGTCAGGTATACTCTATCATCCATACTGCCGCCGGAACCCACTTCCGGGTTCACGGCGCTTAGCCCCGCCCCTTTTCTCTGACGCGGTCCTTCCACGATACTTAGGAAGACCGCGCCAGATTCAAGGGGCTGGATTATTCACGCAGGTACGGCATTGAGATCAGCTGCTCTATTGAATGCTACCGGCTACACTCCTCTCTCGACCTCGGCTTGTAACCAGATTTCAACCTTCCCCACTTCTCGACCTCGGCTTGGAAAACGGACTTCTACCTTCTCCACTCCCAGACCTCGGCTTGTAAAAACGGACTTCCTTACTTTCCACTCCTAACGCTCAGCTTATTCATAGAGAGTCATAATCTCTCCTCCATTGGGTGAATTAACCCTTCCAATACCAGAACTTCCTCTAAGTTAAGTAATCCTTTTTTCTCCAAGGAAACCAATTCATATTAATTATTTTCACTTCATTCCTCTCTTGTCAATAAGGGATTACTACTAAGTCTTATTTCTCCTGCAAATATCATTTATTATTAATTGCAACCTGTCCAGCTTATTTATCATTATACTAATAAATCATTCCATCTTAATTAAGTTGGAACTAGCATTGCTTTCCTTCCTGCATCTGTATTTAAAGATACAGTCAAGCTTGTTTACTTCAATATAAAGGAGGTGTAATTATTGTTTCTGCAGTTGAGTTCCAATTAAAGGGATATTACACAATCCCATCACAGAATAATCCAGCCCTTTCAATGGAACCAGCAGATATTAACTCACAAGTTACTGCTCTAACCAATAGAGTGGATACGATTGCTCAAGGGTTACAAGAACTGCAAATCACGAATGAGAGAATATTAACCTATGTCAGAGACATGCAAAACCATCTCCCTCATGCCGCTCTTCAATCGGCTGGTGATCCTGCTGTCTGTAATCCAGAAAAATTTTATGGAGATAGAACAAAGTACAGAGAGTTTTTGAATTCTTGCAAATTACTAATAGCTTTAAAACCTAGATCTTATCCCACCGAAAGATCCAAAGTCTGTTCAGTAATATCTTTTTTAAGAGGTGAACCTATGGCCTGGGCCCATTCCTTTTTGGAAAATGATGATCCCATATTAGATTCATTGGATGAGTTCTTTGAAGCTATGTCTTTATTATATGAAGATCCTTTTAAACAAACTACTGCTGATTTAACCATCAGAACATTACACCAAAAGAATAGACCTGTTGAAGATTATATTGCAGAATTCAAAAGATGGGCTACAGAAACCCAATGGAATGACATTACCCTACGCAATCAATTCCGTCTCGGATTATCTGAAGCTGTGAAAGATGAACTCTCTCGTACAGAACTTCCTCCTACCTTAAATGCATTGATTCAACTGTCCATCAGTATTGATAGACGTCTAAGGGAAAGAAAAGCTGAAAAGGTTCTTACTAATTATACCTGGAGAAAACCTTTCACTACTCTAAAATTACCTGAAAAAATTCCTCCACAAACTGAACCTATGGAAGTAGGTATAATAAAAAGTCCTCTTACTTCTGAAGAAAGAATAAGAAGGAGACAACTAAACTTATGTATGTATTGCGCCTCGAACGAACATCTAATTTCCGAATGTCCTCTACTGAAACATTCAAAAGGTGGTAAGCTTCATTCATCTACCTCTATATTGAACGTTTTTCAAAAAAGAAAAACATCTACTTATTTTTCTATATCTCTCATATTACAGTGGGATACAAAAAGAATCGTGACTGAGGCCATCATTGATTCTGGTGCTAATGGAACTTTTCTTGATTTTTCTTTTGTTTCAAAAAATAAAATTCCTTGTGTTCAAAAAACCAACTTTATTCCAATCAGGGTTATTGACGGTTCATTTATATCCTCAGGACCCATCAAAAATGAAACAATCCCTCTAAGAATGATTACCAACAACGTACATTTCGAATTCATTACATTTGATATTATTAAATCTCCACTTTATCCCGTCATTCTAGGAATTAATTGGTTAAAAAACCATGATCCTTTAATTAAGTGGTCTCCTTTCTCCATCTCCTTTGCTTCTGATTTCTGTAAAAAAAACGTGCTTACAACACATTCCTATTCTCCATACTACTGTAGAACCAGTTATACCTCCATTCTACTCCGACTTTGCAGATGTCTTTTGTAAAAAAGAAGCAGAAACACTTCCTCCTCATCGGGTATATGATTGCCCAATAGATCTCATACCCGGAGCTCCTATTCCTTATGGTCATATTTATCCACTCTCTGAAAAGGAGTTAGAAATTTTAAAAGAATATCTTAATGAAAATTTACGCAAAGGGTTCATCAGACCCTCGACCTCTCCTGCTGCTTCTAGTATTTTCTTTGTGAAGAATAAAGACCAAACCATCCGTCCTATTATAGATTACAGAGCCTTAAATAAAATAACTATTAAAAATCGTTATCCTCTTCCACTAATAAATGAATTAATTGAAAGGTTAAGAACTGCAACTATATTCACTAAACTCGACCTTCGAGGCGCATATAACCTCATTAGAATAAAACAGGATGATGAATGGAAAACCGCCTTCCGGACAAGATATGGTCTCTACGAATATCTAGTGATGCCTTTCGGGCTCTGTAATGCCCCTGCAACATTTCAACATTTTATAAATGATATCTTTAGAGATCTTCTGGATGTATGTGTTATTATCTATTTAGATGATATCTTAATATATTCTAACAATTTGGATGAACATAGGAAGCATGTTAGATGGGTTCTATCTAGACTGAGAACTCATAAATTATACGCTAAACCAGAAAAATGCCTTTTTGAGGTTACTGAATTCTCTTTTCTAGGATACATTATTTCACCTCATTCTTTGAAGATGGATAATTCCAAAATCAAATGTATTATTGATTGGCCTGCTCCTACTACTACAAAAGAATTACAACGTTTTCTTGGATTTGCAAACTTCTATAGAAAATTTATTAGAAACTATTCGGATGTATCACATCCTCTTAACCTCCTCAACAGTAGTAAACGTCCTTTTAATTGGAATAAAGATGCACAAACAGCCTTCGAAGAATTAAAAAAAAAGATTTACAACTGCACCTATTCTACAACTACCTAATCCAACATTCCTATATGTTCTTGAGGTTGATGCATCAGATGCAGCCATCGGAGCAGTTCTTTCTCAACAAAAGACTCCACAAGATCCACTTCATCCAGTTGCCTTTTTTTCAAAATCCCTGAGCTCTGCTGAAAAAAATTATCCTATTGGTGAAAAAGAATTATTAAGTGTTAAAGCTGCCTTCGAAAATTGGCGTCATCTTCTGGAAGATACAAAACAACCTATAATCGTTTATACTGACCATAAAAATCTTGAATATCTCTATACTAACAAAACCCTTACAGCTAGACAAGTTAGATGGAACCTATTTTTTAACCGATTTAACTTCCAATTAATATACAGACCTGGAAATAGGAATAAAAAGGCTGACGCTCTTTCTCGAATTCCTTCTAAAACTACTACTGATGATTATCCTCCTACCAAAATAATAGGGATCCTCTCTTCTCTTCATGATGACATAAAGAATTTGAATCAGAAGGATCTTGAACTTCCCAAAACAGCTATACTAACAAAAAAAGATGGTATATTTTATTTTAAAAATAGAATTTATATTCCTCCCATTCTTAGGAATAAATTACTTAAGATGGTTCATGATTCCCCCCTAGCTGGACATCCTGGAATAAAGAAAACACTTGAACTAACTTCACGATATTATTGGTGGCCTCGCCAGGATAGAACCATTGAATTATATGTCAAAACATGTCCTATTGTCAAAGGTCTAAACCAGAACATAATCAACCTTTTGGATTACTACTTAACTTACCTATTCCAGAAAAACCTTGGCAATCCATTTCCATGGATTTTATCGTTGATCTTCCACCTTCTCAACATTTCACCACTATTCTTGTCGTTGTGGATCGCTTCACAAAAATGTCCCATTTCATTTCTTTAAAAAAATTACCCTCCTCTGTAGAATTGTCCAAAGTCTTTATTGACAATATTGTGAAACTTCATGGTCTTCCTGAAGAAATTATTTCTGATAGGGGGACACAATTTACCTCCAAATTCTGGAAAGAGATGTGTCTCTCCCTTCAAATTCAACGCAAACTCTCTTCCGCTTATCATCCCCAAACTAATGGGCAAACAGAAAGGGTTAATCAATGTTTGGAACAATATCTTCGATGTTATTGTTCATACCTCCAAGATGACTGGACCACATGGTTACCTATGGCCGAATTTTCTTACAATAATACCATTCATTCTAGTACGAAAATGACTCCTTTCTTCTCCAACTATGGTTTGCATCCGTCTTCATTCCCCATCCAAACCATTACTTCATCCAATCCTACTGTTACATCAAAAAACGAATTTATGTCTTCTCTATTTCTCAAATTACGGGAGAATCTTCAACTTGCTCAAAACTACCAGAAAAAGTTTTTTGACAATAGAAGAAGAATTCCCCCTCCTTACAAAGTAGGGGATCTTGTCTGGCTCTCTTCAAAAAATATTACCACAAACCGTCCTTCAAAGAAATTGAGCTCTCTTTTTCTTGGTCCTTTTCAAATAATTACAATTATCAATGATAACGTTGTTAAATTAAAACTTCCTCCAAGTTTTAAACTTCATCCAGTATTCCATGTCTCTCTTCTTAAACCACACATCCCTGATCCTTTTCATAGAGAATAGTTACAACTCCTGAACCTATCATCGTCCAAGGTGAAGAAGAATATGAAATACACAAGATTTTGGATTCACGTGTCCACCGTGG